GTTTTTGATAAAACCAAGCATAAGGGTAGTTGAAGCAGTGTATGCCAGTAATTGTAGCTGCTTGGGAAGCTGAGACAAATTTAAGGCCAGTTTGAGTAATTTAGCAAGATCCTATCTCAAAGTAAAAATTGGGCCAGGAATATAGCTCAGCAACACAATGCCTGCCTAGCAAGCACAAGGTTCTGAGTTTAATCCCTGGTACCGCAAAAAAGAAAAGAAAAGAAAAAAAAAGTTTCTGTGTTCAATATCCAATACCACAAAAACAAATGTTTTTAAATATTTTAAAATTAATACACAGATAAGAACCAGAAGGTCCTGAGTTCCTTTTTTCTTGATAGGATATAGTCTCCCAAGGACTCTCAAATCAGATGATACACTTTTTCTTTATATTTTTCTTTTTCTTTTTTGAGGGGGAACCAGGGATTGAACAGATGATACACTTTTTATGAATGATGTTTATGAGGTCCCAAGATCTCATGTATATCTTTCCAAAGGTTACACTGCCAGCAAAAGAAAAGAGGTAGATTTTTCTCCCCTAGTAGTAGGAATTGAACCTAGGGCTTCAAGTATTATAGTTAGTTTTCCATGGCTGAGTTATTTCTCTAGCCCTTTTTATTTTATTTTTGAGAGAGTCTCACTGAGTTGTCCAGGATGGCCTTAAATTTTTTACAATTCTCCTGTCTCAGACTCCTGGATAGCTGGGATTATAGGTGTGCACCACTGAATGTTAAGTCTTTATAGATTCCAGACTTACACCAGCTTTCCCTCAACAAGTGTACTCATCAAAAACCATTGGTGAACATAAGTAAAATTAGAAAATCAACAAAGAGCCAAAAAAATACTCCAATTAAAAAAAAAAAATAGAATAGAAAAACATGATGGAAAACCTGCCAGTGAACACAGGAAAGGCTATTCTATGTCAAAGGTAATTTTTGTGTTTTTTTTTTTTTTTTTTTTTTGTTCTTGATTTTAGCCAAAAGACTGAGAAGTGATTACTAGTAATTTGTAGAATACTAATTTTTGGAAAAGATGTAAAAAATTAATAATAAATAAAAAGGGTACCAGTTGGCTTAAAAATGGACAACCTTTTGACTTACAAATATTTCATTTATAGAAATTATGTATTTAGTTAAATCATTGTCCAAGCACTGTTTATATGTGATAAAAACAACCCAAGTACTCGTATTCATCTATTATGACAGTAGCAAATAATAGTAATGGCTAAGATTTACTCAGTATTTACATTAAGTGAACTACTGTTCTATGCAATCTAGATTTTTAAGATTAACTTTAAAAATTTATTTATTTTTGCAGTACTGAGGATTGAACCCAGAGCTTTCACATTGAACTACATCCTAGCTCATTTTTTATTTTGAGATAGTGTCTAAGTTGTTTATTTATTTGTTTATTTCTTTTGTGGCACTGGTAATAAACCCTAGGCCCTGTACATGTTAAACACACACTCTACCGCTGAGCTACATCCCAGTCTCCTACAGGTTTATCTTGTAAAAGTTTTACAACAATTCTGTGACATGGGGCCAAATATATCAATTTTAGAGGTAAAGAAAGTAAGGCCCAGAAAAAAATGATTATAAGTATCCCGATATATCTTTATTGTAGCATACAAAAATAGCTACTAAAAGTATGTAGAGGGTTGGGGAGATGGCTCAGTAGAATAAGCACTTCCCTGGCAAGCGGAAAGGTCTGAGTTCAATCCCTGGTTCCGCAAAAAAAAAAAAAAAAAATGTGTAGAGTTTAATAATTGATAAGAGGGGCTGGGGAGATGGCTTAGTGGAATAAGCGCTTCCCTGGCAAGCGCAAAGGCCTAAGTTCAAGCCCTGGTTTCGCAAAACAAAACAAAACAAAAATAATTGATAAGAAAGATGTTTATGACAATAGGTGGAAAAATAGATTATAAGACAGTCTCATTTATGTAAAACTGTATAATTATGTAAATAAATGTATTATCTAGAATATTAACAGTGGTTTCCAGGGTCCGCCAGATAGCTCAGTGGACTAAAGTGCCTGCTTAGTCAGAGCACGGTGGCCTGGATTCCGTCCCAGCATGCAGTGCTGGCCCCGCCCCTGGGGTGCACTGAGATGGCCATTGAGACTGGGTGAGGTGGCGCACGCACCTGTCATCCCAGCCCTTGGGAGGCTGAAAACAGGAGAATTGCTATGAGTCCGATCTATGTAGTGACACCCTGTAAATGCTGTAGACCCTGTACTAACTACATTAAAAAAAAAAAAAAAAGCAAAAAACATTGGTTTCCAGCTAGGAGAATATTAAGTAAGTTGATATTTTATGCTTATTTTTCATGTTATTTGGGCTTTTACTTTTTTGTGTGTGGGGGGTAGTGGGTACTGGGAC